GTGGAGGAAAACATCTGCCAATGTGCCCTTGAGCAAGGCACTTAAACATAATTGCTCCTGTAAGTTGCTATGGATAATAGCATCTGCTAAATGACTAAAATGTAAAAATGTAATCTGTACCTGAAGCCAGAGGGAAGGAGCTGGAATTCGGGGTGGACTGGGTGGGAAGAGTCAACCGCTATTTTATTTGTCTTCTGGAGGGCTCTGCCCAGGTAGAGAGATTACAGTTCTTGCTGTTGCTGCCCCATGATTTTTCCGCAAGTCCTGACTATCTTGCCCAACCTATTTTTCTGCGCAACCTTGATATTCCCAAACCAGCAGGTCAAGCAGTAGGACAGAATGCTCTCAATGAATGATTTATAAAAGAGAATCATGATGGCTAGATCAACATAAAAAAAGTGACGTTTCTGGTGAGACTGACAGAATTATTATCTCTAGCCCACACAGCTAGATGAGAGGCCCATATTACCCTGATAGCCTGTTATAAACCAGAAACAAATGCACATTAGGCCTAGTCTGCTGTTAGGCATTTAACACTAAAGTCTGGTATTTTCAGTCAGGCTGAACTGAACATTTGAATCATATCCTATATATACTGGCCAATGTAATCAGTGCCAATCATGTTATAGCCTTTTCCTGCAGTCAAATGACCAAATCGCCCTCTAGTGGCCTCATGGGTGGAATGTTATTAATATTTTTCAAAATTTCATAATTAATAAACTTTATTTTTTTACTGCTGAAAATCCGGTGTTTCTATGACAAACGGTTTTGTTATATTCCAGTCTACTGTGATGTGTAATATTGGGATGCAAACTCAAAATGGAATACATTTAAACTCTATATATATCTGACATGGTACAGGTGTCTTATTTTCTTTAAGCCCATAACCATGGGTGTGAAGTGTGTACTTTTGTTTCAAAGTAGATTTATTTAAGACTACCAAGAAACACTCTGTGTGACCCTGATTTAGCCCACTGCGGTAAAAGGTTAACAAGTTACAGCCTACCAAAACATAAGAGGGGAGTTTTAGAAAATAAACTAATTGGTTATCACAGTCAGTCCATTCAGGCTTGTCTTCTAGTGCCTGAGGTGATCAGGTGTGTCTCCTGTTGCTGCATCCCGGTTAGTGTTGAACCCAACACAAGTCAACAGCTTTTTTATTTTATTTATTAACCTTTATTTAACCAGCAGAAACCCATTGAGACCAGGGTCTCATTTCCAATGTTGCCCTGAGAACCACAGTTCAAGCAACGTGAGCAACACATTTAAGAATGATAATTACAAAATTACAGTTACAACATTTCAAATAAATTATGTTACATTCAAAAGGGCAGTAGAAACAAATATATGCAATCAATCAAAACAAGTGCAGTTGTCGTTGGTCACATTTTTTTATCAGAGCCCTAAATTCAGCTTTTGGGACCAAATAATGACGTTTTAGGGTGACCTGTAGGTCATTCCAGGACTGAGGGGCATAGTAACTGAAAGCAGTCTTCCCTAATTCACAGGAGACCCGTGGAGACCTGTTGAACAGGTAAACTCAAAAGAGAGCGATAGATGGAAAAACACAGATAGGATACCTTAGAATAATAACCCTGTTATTAGAAAGATGTTCCTCTTCAAAGGACAAACATGTTGCCACAGAGGTGTACGCTACAAAAAAAGGAGTACAAGAGAGATGTATCTATTTTCTTCATGTTTAATACATATCAATCGGCACCTTGTCAATCTCTTAGGTATGTTGTGATCTTTGGCTCCTACCTGGCTATAGGGGTGTACACACCAACACCTTTCAGCCACCATAGTGAGCCATGACACACATGCACGCACACACACTCATACACACACACACTCATACACACTCATACACACACACACACACACACACACACACACACACACACACACACACACACACACACACACACACACACACACACACACACACACACACACACACACACAGACATAAAGCGTCAGAGTTGTTTAACCCAAAACAATGTAGAGTAGCTTCTGGACAGGGAATACACTGTACAGACAAAACACAAGATTCAACAACCTCAACTCCCTGAAGACCCTTACATACAGACATAGATATACTCATTGGTGCATGCAGAACAAAAAACCTGCCTTCACACATGCACACTGACTCACAACACACACAGCCAAGAAAGATAAAAACAGACACAAGATCCTACAGACACTAAACACATGGTCACATACATAGAGACAGTCCGTCAGACAGTCAGACATGAATTTAATTTTAATGAAATCACAGCCTCCCACTACCATCAGTTCTTGGCATAACCAACTGGTGTTATGTCGTTTTTAGACGGAGTTCTGTGCTATCAGGTTAATACAGCATTAGAGAAGAGCTCTGTCAATCATTCAGCACGTCAACAGAGTCTGACACAATCTCTCCCCCCCCACACACACACACAAACACACACACACCAAGTTTCATCTTAGTAAAGACCATCTGTTACATACGCTGCAGCTCAAATCTGTGGAGTTAGATAGAGCTGTTTCCTCCCCCTGCTTTGACACACATAGACAGAGCCATCATGAATGCACACTCATCACCCATCGTCGCTCTTCTTTAAAATAGAACGTCAGCTTTCCAGTGCTTTTCAGATTAAATATATGCAGAGGCCTCTCCAAGAGATGGAGACAGAATGCACAAAGGTGTAATGAGTGTATAGACAGACACAAAGTCACACACACATGTACACACCACACAGATAAATAATTACACACGCGCATGCACACAGACATGCATACACACACGCACACACACACACATGCATGTGGATTTTGTGCAGCTATCCATCCATCCATCCATCCCATCCGCTCTATCCCCCGCGAATTAAGCAACTCTCTCTCTCCATAGCCTCTCTCTGTCGGATTCGCGCGAGCTCTTGATCTCAGTCATTTGTTCCGCTCTGGTTTCTCTGCTGTCTACTCTCTTAAGTCTTCTTTGCTTCTTCTTTTATTCTTTCTTGTCTTCTTTCTTTCTTCTGGTTCTTTCTTCTTTCTTTCGTGCTTTCTTTCTTTCTTTTTATCTCCCTCCACATCCATCCATCCATCCATCCATCCATCCATCCATCCATCCATCCATCCATCCATATGACTATAAATCATCATCAAGCCCTATCAAAGCCTGTAACAACATGCTGTCTTGAATACTGACAGTTCCCAAGAAACACTGGGACAGTCTCCCATGAACATGAACAATGGGCAGAAAGACCAACAGAGGAAAAGATGGGGGCAGGGGGTCTTTAACTGTCACATTCATGATATCATGAGTGGGGGGTGGCAGCGTTCAGAGGGATAAAAGGGTTATGCAACTTATTATTCATTTTGATTATGCCCCACATATTGTATTATTTTGTTGTGAGAGCTTGACAGGCCCCATGGAGCACCTGGCATTGCCATGCCAACTAAGTCCTGTCTGACACACTATAACATGGAGACACACACACATACAGGACCAAACCAACTCTCCATCACTCTTGAACACAGACAAGCGCAGAACACACATACAAACACACATACATTCACACACAGAGCCGCATCCATTGCACGCAAACACACACACTCACAAATGCACAAACACAGAAACACACACAAAACGCAAACTCCCCATCACTCACAATCACACTAATGCAAACACAGTCTCATGTAGGAATAGAGAGTTAAAGTAGTTTCTTACCTTCCTCAGCTGAATTAGGCTGGAGAAACAGAGAGAGAGAAAGAAGGACACTCCACATCTCCACTACAGAATGACACTAACTCAGAGAGAGGGGGAGGGAGCATGAAAGAGAGAGAAAGAGACAGAATGAGTGAGCGAGAGAGACAGAGAGAGAGAGAGAGAGAGAGAGAGAGAGAGAGAGAGAGAGAGAGAGAGAGAGAGAGAGAGAGAGAGAGGGGACTGGGAGGAGGAGGAGTCTGTCTGCTCTATTTCAGAGAGAGAGAGAGAGAGGGATGGGGGGAGATGGATGAGGGAAGGAGAACAAATCATTTTCAGAGCAAAGGAAAATACGACAGCAGCACAAATATTGTGCCAGGCGGAAGGTAAACACTTCACATTCATAACTGTGGTAACGAGAACGACATAGCATGGCGGAAAAATCTACAAATGAGTTTGGCTGGTTTGCACTGGAACAGCTGTCTAGACATGCCAAGATATCCTTCTCCTGTATGATATCCTTCTGTGTAAACACAAATAAATTCAGGACAGCACTGGAGCTGGCATGAAACTATGGCCTCGCTAGCATATCTGAATTCTGTAACAACATGCATTTCTTGGTGCTGTGGCGGGGGAGAGAGTGCCAACGTTTTGTTTTTTTGTCATATTTTTCATGGAAATCATCATAATTTAGACACATTTTTGGCCTCACTCCACCACTCATCTAGCTCGCTCTGCCTCCTTTCTTTGCTCTCTCTCTTTCTCTCTCGCTGTCTTTCTCTGTCTGTCTCTTTCTCTCTAACTCATTACACATATACACACATACACACACTCTCTCACAGGATTGTTCACCCAGACAGTATCTAAACACGCACAGATCTCCCAAAAGGCAAGGTGGAAATCATGCCAGCAAAGCCCCTTGTCCACTAGTGACGCCTGCTGGTCAGGTTTGGTTACTACAGCTTGTTGATGCTCAAGCAGACTTTCATGCTACAATTCTCTGCAGTGACTAAACGTTCAGTAGATTTTCCATGGGAGGAGAAGTATACGCTGAACTGTGATCCTCAATAAGGGAGGCAGAGACAGGAAGCTATTTAATCCATCTAACCTAGGCTACAATAACAGTAGACCTCTGATTAATGCAATGGCTTGGCACTGGTATAAATGTGTGCACTAAACCAGAACAGGCAGACACTTTATCAGGAGAAAATTACAAATAATTGAATGAGGACTGGTGAAGTGCACTGCACTTATCACATGTGCTGCACTGGGAGTTGAGTGTTGGCCTGTACAAGGAATCACCACTCACCAGTTGGTATGGTCACTAGTGGCTTTATTTCCAGGTCAAACGTCATTTCGTTGTTACAGTGTTCAGTGTGTTCTACAAGGCAGGGGAGGTTTTGTGTTGTATCGTGGTAAATGTAGTTTCCACCAAGCAGCATTTGTTACCAAGATATAGCGTTACATAGAACACAGAATAAAAACACATAGAATACATTACAGTGAGGTTGATATATACACACAGACACAAGGAAAGTGCATTTATGTCTTTGAGGAGACACAGCAAAGCCAAATGTTGTTGTTTTGTGATGAACATTACAAAGATAGAGCACAAAAAGTTCTCGAAAAAAAACCTGGGAAAATATCAGATCCTTCAGATTTTTCAATGCCACAAAAGTCACAGATTCCATTCAAAATAAAAACCGTTTTTATTGTATTTGTTGCTCAGAGCTTGAGTAACTCTTTATTACAACATAATAGAAAAGGAAAAAAACACTCATTTATACAGTCCTCATTGACTCATTCATCTATATCTGTTTAGTTTCCTCTCTCTCTCTCTCATACAGTCGCACTGGGGGATTTTGTAGGGGTGTGGGGTTTCAGTTACAGTTTCTGTACAGTGGACGAGGGGGGCTTGTTTTTAACTTTCTAGGTTGTTTAAAATGAAATAAATGTTGTGCTTTTAATGATGTAATTATTGGGCCAATAAAGGTATTTTTAAAATAAAAATGTCCAGTCGCACATTTACATTCTAAGAAAATAAATTAATACACAAGAATGCCCATTGAACCATTGCATTCATAATATACACATTAACATCATGTTAGTACAATATGTATGGCAGAGAATGGTACAGTTCATCACCATAGCAACATTCGGTAGTTTGCGCAGAGTGCAAGCAGCAGTGCCAGAAACATTATGAAATTAGTTATAAAAGCTATGAGAAAAGCTATCATAACAGGAATGTATTTTGTAACAGACACATATTAACATACTGTATATATGTACACACCACATTCACAACCATCTAAGAAAAGCCAGATTGCCAAAGTGATGATAGGTCAAATGTTGTTTTAGTCCAAAAGGTAGAAAAGTGTTCAGTTATCATGACTAACAACATCACAAGTAATAATGCAACTAGGAAGGGATGGAAAAAATGTATTAGTAGATACTGTACGAGACACAGAGAAGATATTTGCCACCAATATGGAATGTACGCTAGCTTACAACCATGTATAACAACAACTAACCTGGTCAAAACCTACACAAGACTCCACAATCACAATACAGTATTACACCACTGAAGTTTTATGATTTTTAGACACTTTTAGCATGTTGTTGTCACAATAAATACTATTACTTTAGTGTTGGTATATACTCTCATTTAACGGTAGACACCTTGTTGGAACAACTATTTTCAGGATGTTCCTAACAAATCATATATCATCTACTGTGATCATATATTTCAAACTTGGTAGGTTCTTAAAATGACTAGAAATTCACTCTAAGAAACTGTCTGATTAAAAATATAAAGGTTAGATCTAGTCTATGATAAATTCTATTTGGTAGGGCTTAATTCTATGATATATAGAATATATAGAATTCTTTACACACAAAGCAATCACAGCTCGTCTTACACTTCGTTGTCTTTAGTAGATTGTGAGATCTCACTCCAAAAACTGTGTAGCCACTATACATCATACTGATGTTAATGTAGACTTTCCAAGTACTAATAGTGGTTGAATGTCATTGTTCCATAGTGGTTGAATGGCTTTGCTCCATATATCTCCTCTACCCCTATCTGATACATGATTTGCAGTACACCTGAGATTCTTCAAAGTTCCCATTGAGACTGTGATCATACTGTCAAAGAATTCTACAATCATACTGGCCCGAACCCAGAATCTATGTTTTGATGTACTATTTGGAGATTTTAAAGAGATTTTACTACTGAACTCCTCATTAGCATAGCTATGACAGGCCAGCCAGGCATTGGAAGCCTATACTGTATGTAGTCTGATGAGGCAGACAGAAGCCACAGATATGGGTGAGCCATGGGTGGGGCAGTGTTCTAGCTGACTCAGTGTTAAGGGAGAGACACGTCTGTGGTGTTGAGTCTCTGTGACAGTTCAAGGTCAGGCTCCAGAGACAGATGCGCTAGGTTATGATATTCCAGGCAGAGCGACAGATAGGCTAGGTTATGATACACCAGGCAGAGAGACATAGAGGCTAGGTTATGATACACCAGGCAGAGAGACAGATAGGCTAGGTTATGATACACCAGGCAGAGAGACATAGAGGCTAGGTTATGATACACCAGGCAGAGAGACATAGAGGCTAGGTTATGATACATCAGGCAGAGAGACATAGAGGCTAGGTTATGATACACCAGGCAGAGATACATAGAGGCTAGGTTATGATACACCAGGCAGAGAGACATAGAGGCTAGGTTATGATACACCAGGCAGAGAGACATAGAGGCTAGGTTATGATACACCAGGCAGAGAGACATAGAGGCTAGGTTATGATACACCAGGCAGAGAGACATAGAGGCTAGGTTATGATACACCAGGCAGAGAGACATAGAGGCTAGGTTATGATACACCAGGCAGAGAGACAGATAGGCTAGGTTATGATACATCAGGCAGAGAGACATAGAGGCTAGGTTATGATACACCAGGCAGAGAGACATAGAGGCTAGGTTATGATACACCAGGCAGAGAGACATAGAGGCTAGGTTATGATACACCAGGCAGGGAGACATAGAGGCTAGGTTATGATACACCAGGCATAGAGACATAGAGGCTAGGTTATGATACACCAGGCATAGAGACATAGAGGCTAGGTTAGGATAAACCAGGCATAGAGACATAGAGGCTAGGTTAGGATACACCAGGCAGAGAGACATAGAGGCTAGGTTAGGATACACCAGGCAGAGAGACAGATAGGCTAGGTTATGATACACCAGGCAGAGAGGATTTCAGATAAACAACTTTTTAGGTTAAACCACTGTCCTCCCAAACCCACTGATCTCAGTACACATCAACCCAAATCCTATTCCCCTTTTAACCCAAGTGCAGGACAATATGAGAAGTTTAATACTGAACATATTTGTTGGAATGTTTACCCTCTTAAATGTTAATACTATAAAGGTTTTGACTTGGAATGTCAATCATTTAAAAGTGCAGTAGTAAAAATGGTCATTGATTAATTAATGATTGGCGTCTATGAGTTAAGTCAGCTAAAAATAAATGTCATAAAATATTTTGCCATTGGTAAAAGCTAATTATAAAAGATCATTAATAACTTACAGTAATTAATACTTTATGCAGTTAAAAAGAAAATGACTGAAGGCACACACACACACACTGGCACACACTGACACACAGTAAACATAAATCCTCTTTGACACACACTCTCATGATTTCTGTTAAAGTATTTACAGGATGGCTACATTATCATCCCCACTATCCACACCCCGACACTAAGCTGCTATTTCATATGGAAGCTCCTCCCCATAACAGTGCATATCTCTAGTCCTGCACCTTAAATGTCCAATTCAACCTAAAATGGACAATAAAGTTTTGTTTTGAATTTATACTCCCTACATTACAGTATCTATGCACAAGGGGCTTGTCTCTAACCCTGTAACCCTGTTCTCTAACGCTTCCACTATCTACAGATTCGCTGACGATCACTTCTTTTCCTTCTCTTCCGTCGGAAACGCAACCATTGGAACCTTCTCCGTCGTCGGGGAAACGGGCAGGGTGACCACACCCTCTGGGGGAGGAGAGTGGGCGGAGTCTCCTGCAGTGCCGGTGAATCCTTTGGCAATGTCGTCAAAGGTCCGCCCCTTGGTCTCCGGGACTTTGAAGTAGGTGAAGACGAAGAAGAATATGAGGAAGATCATGAAGATGATGAAGACGTAAGGACCACACAGCTCCTGTAGAGGAGAGCGAGAGAGAGAGGAGGTTAGAGAGGTACACAAGCTAAGCTGTAAAGTTTGTCAGATGTATTGGTCTTATAATGGTGCCAATCCCATTCATTCAGCTTTGAGGCCTGCAGATTTATCCTGATACATATACATAGGTGTCTGTAGTGAGAGGGGCAGGGCGAGGAAGAAGACCCAACCTCCAGTTTGGGGAAGCCCAGTCCGACCAGAAAGTTGGCGGTCCAGTTGGAGCAGCCGGCGACGGCCATAGCTGCAGGCCGAGGCCCCTGGGAGAACAGCTCAGCAACTATGAACCATGGGATAGGACCTGGACCCATCTCAAAACTGGCCACGAAACCAAACACCGCCACGATGGCCATGTAGCTCAGAGACGGGTTGGTCTTCTACTTAGAGAGGAGGGAAGGAATGGAAGGGATCAAATATATTAAGCAGTGGAATAAAATCCTGTCAAGGATTTTAATGATGTGACAAGAATAGTTATTGTCGGGTTCTTGACATTTGAAATGATGGACAGTCAAGATTGAAACTCACCACCAATGAGAGGGAGATGGTCATGAGCAGAGCACAGACAGCCATTCCAGCCAATCCGATGAGGTGCAGGGTCCTTCGTCCCGCCCTCTCCACCAGGAAGAGCTGTGAATCAAACAAGGAAGTGCTTAGAATGTGTCCAAGGGTATCACATTTCATATAGGAGTCTGGTCAAAAGTAGTGCACTATCAAACTGTACTATTTCTGTATTATTTTATTTGACCAGATATGTGTTAAAATACTTACAGACACCACTGTGAATAGAGTGTTGACCACCCCAGCTCCAATAGTGGCGTAGATGGGCTGGGTCACACCGGCAGTATCAAATATACCTGTCGAATAGTAGAACACCTGAGGAGGAAGTAGGAGAGAGGTTGTTGATTACATTCATAACCAATATGAGGATATGTATCTGGTTAAATCTAGTTGTTGTTGTTGATGTTGGCCCATGTTTACTCCTATAGACAGAGAGGGCTGTTGTTTGAGTGTGTTCTGCGGCCATCTGGGTTTGATTGATGCTGTATTTTGATTATTTTTTCTATGTAACCTTTATTTAAGCAGGGAGTCATGCTGAGACCACTGTCTCTTTCGCAGATGAGCCCTGCATGAACACATCAATAAACAACAATTGCACTATACGTATCTATATACACATCAATACATGAAAAGCAAACACAAAACACGAAAAGCAAAACACAAACATATGAAACAAACACATTCTTCAGTAAAAAGGCCCTCTGAATTAGCCCCAGTCTAAAGGTCATTGCGTTGAAGGCAATAACTTTATCTGGACAGGCTCATTTCGATCTTCCTCTTTTGAAATATGTGGCTATGCATCTCTCTTTCCTCATCTCCTTTCCATTGGTTAGTAATTTATAAAAGGTCTGGATAGGTTTCCACCATCTTGTTTTCATGTAATGTATTGTTAGATCAGTGGTCATGGATTAAGAGAAGGAAAAACTGTCTGTCCTACTTAAAGTATTTTTCCCTGATGTTTTTCATAGTTCGACTATGTAGTATGAAAGAACTCCTGGCCCGAATTATGTTGCATTGTGGGAGTTGTAGTCTACTCACTGCATTGATGCCAGAGAGCTGCTGGGAGAGCTGCAGGATGATGGCGATGATGATTGGCTGACGGTAGGCCGGCGAGCGAAAGAGTTCTGGAATAGTGACCTTCTTCTCCATGGCCATCTTCATCCCTTCCTCCTTCATCTCCTGGATGTCATCACTTACATCCTCACAGCCACGCAGACGCACCAGGGCTGAAGGGAGGGAGAGAGAGACATTTGTTAAATAGTAGGTACTTTCTGGTACTAATGTGAATCCCAAATAAACAACAGAGTAACTGTCATGTAATGACTTTTATACCACATAATTTCTAAGTAAACAGTCAAATAATAAAGTCCCCTAAATGAGTGCTGTGCAATATGATCAGTAATATCTCCTTTATTTAATATGATCAGTAATATCTCCTTTATTTAATATGATGAGTAATATCTCCTTCATTTAATATGATCAGTAATATCTCCTTTATTTAATATGATCAGTAATATCTCCTTTATTTAATATGATCAGTAATATCTCCTTTATTTAATATGATGAGTAATATCTCCTTCATTTAATATGATCAGTAATATCTCCTTTATTTAATATGATCAGTAATATCTCCTTTATTTAATATGATCAGTAATATCTCCTTTATTTAATATGAGCAGTAATATCTCCTTTATTTAATATGATCAGTAATATCTCCTTTATTTAATATGATGAGTAATATCTCCTTTATTTAATATGATGAGTAATATCTCCTTTATTTAATATGATCAGTAATATCTCCTTTATTTAATATGATCAGTAATATCTCCTTTATTTAATATGATCAGTAATATCTCCTTTATTTAATATGATCAGTAATATCTCCTTTATTTAATATGATGAGTAATATCTCCTTTATTTAATATGATCAGTAATATCTCCTTTATTTAATATGATCAGTAATATCTCCTTTCTGTAATACGATCAGTAACATGTCTCCTCTCTCTGACCTTTGCGAGCCTCCTCCTCCTGGTTGAGGCTGATGAGGAGGTAGCGGGGGCTCTCTGGGCAGAAGGGCAGCATGATGCTCTGCACCACAGCAGGGATGGCCGTCAGGGACAGCAGGAGGGGCCACAGGGAGTCTGACCCCAGCAGAAACTCCAGACCAAAGACCTACGGAGCAGAGAGAGTGACAGCAGGATGGGCAGGGTTAAACCTTAGGGTAGTAGAAAGGTAATGCTCAAACTAAAATAGATTTAACTGACTTGATTGTACAGAAAAAGTAGATCGGTCAATAACATTAAGTTCAATTAATTACAATAAACTCAGTAGAGTTTGAACCAGAAGAACCTAAATCAAAGTGAACAAGTGCCTGGTCCTCTCTGTCGTACCTGTGCCACCAGGATGCCAATGACTACTCCCAGCTGGTGGAGGGTGCCGAAGGCCCCCCTGAGGTGCGTGGGGGCCAGCTCTCCCACGTACATGGGCGTTAGTCCTGTACACAGGCCACAGAACACGCCAATGACCAGCCTGCCAATGATGACCATCTCAAAGGAGTTACACAGGCTGGACAGACCCATCAGAGTTCCACCCAGAAGGGCTAGCACGTTGGCCAGGAGCATGGACTTACGCCTGGGGAGAGGGAGAGAGAGAGCGAGAGAGACAGGAGGATAGATAAAGGGGAAAGGAAAGAAAGAAAGTAGGAGGAAAAAGGTGTGATGGTTAGAAAGATGGAGGGAAGCCATTTAGTCCAGTGCCCTGCCAGATACCATGAATGGCCTGCTAAATAAAGAGTGCAATTGAGTTGAACTACAGAGAAATTAGGTGAGATGAGGCCAGGTCAGGAGGTAAGACCTCAATTAACATTACATCACCAAATTGGCAAATTGCCCTTGGCTCATCTTTGAGAGCAAATATTTACATGCCGCACACCTCTCATTGTGATGTTGGGAATAAAAATGTAAAAAAAACACTACAAAGTCTTTACAGATACAAAACCCCTTCCATTTACTGTACATCTGCATTTCTTTGTATCATTAGTCTTTAACTCACCTCCCAAACCTGTCGACCATGACCCCCACAGACAAGGATCCAACCATGCCCCCCACACTGAAGATGGCCACAGCGAAGCTCCACACCATGGTGTTAGTCCCAGGGGAGAAGGGCTCTCCATAACGATCCATAGACACATTCTGGAAGAACCGTCGCAGTTTCTGAGAGTGGAGATGACAGACTTAGAACCTTCAGAGGTTAAAGGGTGGGAATATCACTGAGGATTTAGACAAGTGGTCTAAACCCCTAGTCCTGGAGATGTACAGAGTGTCCAGCCCTGTTCCAGCCTTGACTGTTATAGTCAATACACATGAGTACTGGCACTGACTGCCCACAAGGGGGAGACAAAGTTGAAAAAAACCAGCACATCCCTCCAACTCAGACGTGTGTGACCACTCCTGTATTGCATGCATACCGCGCACACACACACACACACACACACACACACACACACACACACACACACACACACACACAGCACACCACACACACACACACACGCACACGCACACCGCACACACACACCTGCTCAGGGGCATTGATGACTCCAGTGTTGTATCCGAACTGCAGGGAGCCGATGACGGCTGTAGTGACACAGTAGAGGAGGTAACAGGTCACTCCCTTCTTCTTCTGGGGATGGAGGAGAGATATAGGGAGGAAGAGAGAGAGGGAAAGGGAAAGCAGGGAGAGAGAGGGGGTGATGGAGGGAGAGGGGTGTTAAAACAATAGAGAGAGAAAAAAACAGATAAGAACAAGAAAGTGTATGCAGGATGGGATGTGACAGAGAAAAGGAGCAAGAGAGGGAGAGAGAGAGAGAGAGAGAGAGAGAGAGAGACAGAGACAGAGACAGAGAGACAGCGAGAGAGAGACAGAGAGACAGAGAGAGAGAGAGAGAGAGAGAGAGAGAGAGAGAGAGACAGAGAGAGAGACAGAGAGAGAGACAGAGAGAGACAGAGAGAGAGAGATACCCGCTAATTATCAAAATCCAGAAAAGAGCTAAAAATAAGCGATTCCCAAACCTTCCATAACAAAGCCATCACCTACAGAGAGATAAACCTGGAGAAGAGTCCCCTAAGCAAGCTGGTCCTGGGGCTCTGTTCACAAACACAAACAGATCCCACAGAGCCCCAGGACAGCAACACAATTAGACCCAACCAAATCATGAGAAAACCAAAATATAATTACTTGACACATTGGAAAGAATTTACAAAACAACAGAGCAAACTAGAATGCTATTTGGCCATAAACTGAGAGTACACAGTGACAGAATACCTGACCACTGTGACTGACCCAAAATTAAGGAAATCTTTGACTATGTACAGACTCAGTGAGCATAGCCTTGCTATTGAGAAAGGCCGCCGTAGCCAGACCTGGCCCTCAAGAGAAGACAGGTTATGTGCACACTGACCACAAAATGAGGTGGAAACTGAGCTGCACTTCCTAACCTCCTGCCAAATGTATGACCATATTAGAGACACATACTTCCCTCAGATTACACAGACCCAAAAAGAATTCTAAAACAAATCCAATTTTGATAAACTCACATATCTATTGGGTAAAATACCACAGTGTGCAATAACAGCAGCAAGCTTTGTGACCTGTTGCCACAAGAAAAGGGCAACCAGTGAAGAACAGACACCATTGTAAATACAACCTATATTTATGTTGATTTATTCTCCTTTTTGTACTTTAACTATTTGCACATAATTATAACACTGTATATAGACATAATATGACATTTGAAATGTCTTTATTCTTTTGGAACTTCTGAGTATAATGTTTACTGTTAAAATGTATTGTTTATTTCACTTTTGTTTACTATCTACTTCACTTGCTTTGGCAATGTTGACATATGTTTCCCATGCCAATAAAGCCCTTAAATTGAATTGAGAGAGAGAGAGAGAGAGAAAGAGAGAGAGAGAAAGAGTGAGAGCGAGAGCGAGAGAGAGAGAAAAACAGGAAATTAGATATCCACTGGTCTAATGCATATGGATGGAGATGTAGTGTACAATAATTCTGTCATTGTCATCATAGCCAGTGTCTTGGCCCACAAAGCTCTTGTTGTTACCAGTGACAGTAGAAAACACACAATGAACCATTCTCTTTCTGATTTTCCTCCCTCTCTTGTGCTTTCAAGCTGTCACTGTCTAACTGCTGCCACGCTAGGCTAGCTGTTACAAAACAGTGGAAATGGAACCATGTTTCACAATCCTGATCAACCCGGAGTCTTGAGGATGATGTGGATTTATGCTACTGTATTCTAGTGTTGAGACCTATTGTATTGGGTTTGGCTGTAATACCAGTCCAATATGCGTTAATATATTAATACTAACTACTACTTAAACAAATACCAAGTGAATACATCTGGCATGAAGATTTTTCTTTTTAGCTGTGGCTTCTTGGTGAATGATAGTCAGTTGTGACAATTAAAGCTGGCCAACATAGCAGCACCAAGCTGATTGGTTATAATGAAAGTCTCCTATGGAAAGCCCTGGGCCAGACCAGAGAAACCCTGTTTGATGTGGTCTCTTTTAAAAGGAACAACCTACTCATCTCAAATACCACATCTATTTTACAGAGAATGTAGGCTATAGGAAACGTGACATGACAGTATATCCGTTATTATTAAACAAAGGTAGGCTACTCCTTATTACACACGTTATTACTCATAGATACTAATATATACATTTCCTACATAAACACAGCATAAGGCAGTGATGTAAAATATCCAGCGGCTCCACATAACAGACTTTCATTCTAACCAATCAATGACTGTTGTTTAGTCCAGTAATTCTCAACTGGTGGGTCCTGACCCAAATGTGGGGCACGGGAGGTTTGAACTTAAACAACTTAAACCAGATAGAAAGACTAGAAATTATAAGTAACTTATATTTGTAAATAATTTAATCTCTGAACAATTTTTTCTTCAATCACAGTATTTTCAATATAGAGATATTAGCAGCACTATTTTGGTTGATTTTATGGTCTCAAGCCACTGAGGTGGGAATGTTGTTCCCTTGTCATATAATTGCTACATTTACTATCAATGTAGCATTAATTTTTTTTTATAGATTGTATATTGGCGATTCTTTTTCACGATGCAAAAATTGGGTCGCCTGGTTCAATTTGGGTCCCGAGGCAAAACCAGTTGAAAACCACAGGTTTATTATGTATGTATGCTACAGGAGAGCAGTATAATGTAATATGGTCTCTGTCCACCACGTCACCAGACTTAATATCTACATATATCACCAAAATGACACAATAACACAGCATGGCAGTATCAATAACATTATCACACACAGGCTCAGTCAACCTGCACACGACATTGATAGATTGATATGAGGGAACAGTGGGCATAGTGGTAAGTGAGTGATCACCTTCAACCTATGGTGAATCATTTCTATCCTGATGGAAGTGGTCTCTTCCAGGATGACAATGCCCCCATCCAATTGAACACTTATGGGAGATTCTGGAGAGGCACCTGAGACAGCGTTTTTCACCACCATCAACAAAACCTCAAACTATAGAATTTCTCATGGAAGAATGGTGTCACATCCAGACACTTGTAGAATCTATGCCAAGGCTCATTGAAGCTGTTCTGGCTTGTGGTGGCCCAACGCCCTATTAAGACACTTTATGTTGGTGTTTCCTTTATTTTGGCAGTTCCCTTTATATCACAGTGTGAAAGCAGTGTCACCCAAGACAGACTGCTTTGTGTTGTATTGTCCTGGACTGAACAGTCTGTTCTTGTAATGATAGATGTAACTCGCTGGTTCTGTGATTGGCCACACTGTTTCTAACAGTCACTAGAACTGTCACAGTTTAACACAATGGGTACAAATAAAACGATTTGTTTTGAAGATGGAAAACAGTCTTGTAATGTTATGAAACATAGGCTACGTGTGTACAGGAATGTAGAGGAAAACTGATGATCGTAACATTGTCATAACGGTCCTAGTATATGTCTAGGAGGCCTAACTAAGAGGCTTAGTTCTGGAACATAATTCAAATCAAAGACCAACTGACACAGAATGACTATGTACGGAGGTAACCCGGGCTAACGCTAAAAACACAGACGTCAGTGCCATAAGAATAAAATGCTGAAAGGGTTTCATTACCCAAGTTACACTGATAAAAGTGTTATGTTCTGTGATAGTACTAATCAGGCATATTGTATTTCCCTAGGAAGGACACTCTGGCCTTCTGGCATTACAATACCCAGTCATCTAAAACAAACAGAAAACTTGTAGTAGGCCTATTCATTCAGTTAAGTAAGATATGTAAAGACGGTAAAACAGGGCCCCTTCAAAAGAATAATCCCAATGAGATGATGTAAATCTTTATAGGTTTGTGTAAAACAAATGTTGGGCAAGTCAACAAGTTTTGACTGTCGTCAGAGGTATGGGCTGGAAGGACAGGCTGGTGAGTGTGTTTGTGTGTGTGTCTCTTTAATAGAAGTGGGCCTTCATATTTCATCTGCACAGACATGTTAAAGATGGAATCTGCAGTAAAGGAATCAGTGCCACTGTCCACCCAACGGCCTTTTGCCTTTTGGTAGGCCATCATTGTAAATAAGAATTTGTTCTTAACTGACTTGCCTAGTTAAATAAAGGTTAAATAAAAAAAATAAAAAACATAAAAAAGGGGTGCAGCCCAATGTGGTAAAACAAAAATCGCTGTACCTAATCTGTTGTTCTATCGTGCGTGCAACGATGTCAGAGGAAAAAAATACAGTGTTCGTTGTTTACAGTAACTTCTTTGTTGTTGTAATAGCCCAAACGGATGTGGCAGTTTGACCATTAAGGATTCCAGCTTTAATGTTGAGTAAGATACCAGGAAAGAGTGTGTGAGTGTGTCATTTACTGTACTGAATACCGTCACAGTTCATAATATGACTAAATAAGGGAGTGGCTGAGTGAGTAAGGACGAGGCTATATACAGGGGGTACCAGTACCGAATCAATGTGCAGGGGTACAGGTTAGTCGAGGTAATTGAGCTAATATGTACATGTAGGTAGGGGTAAAGTGACTATGCATAGATAATAAACAACGAGTAGCATGGTTGAGTGTGCATGTGTATATACCATACATACTGGACTGTACTAAAAAGCCTGTAAAGCTTGTTGACTTGCACAACATCTGTCTTACACAAACCTATGAAGACGTATGCGCATTTGTCAAAGTGTGCCTACCTGCTGTGTGTGTGTGTGTGTGTGTGTGTGTGTGTGTGTGTGTGTGTGTCACATGACCGGAAAAGTGATTTCTGATGTATAATGAAGCCCTTCTGTTTCTCATCCTATTATCTGTCCATCTGATTCTCTATCTCTGTCTCTCTATTCCTAATTTCATCTTTCTGCAAGTGCTGGATTTTCACCCACAGTGGCCAATCCACCATTCATTCTGATCTTTAACTCCAACCCTCCGATGTCCACAGACTAACCCATCTTTCCCAGTATAATGCCATTTTGCTATTTCCTTTTGCAATCCATCCCCCCATTTGACTGTGATGTCATACGAGGGTCTTGAACCTCCCTATTTGTAACATTTCTCATTTCCCATCAATGCTGTTAGTCAATATACACTATATATACACAAAAGTATGTGGACAAATTAGTATATTCGGCTATTTAAGCCACACTCGTTGCTGACAGGTGTATAAAATCGAGCACACAGCCATGCAATCTCCATAGACAACCATTGGCAGTAGAATGGCCTTAATGAAGACCTCAGTGACATTCAACGTGGCACCGTCATAGGATGCCACCTTTCCAACAAGTCAGTTTGTCAAATTTCTGCCCTGCTAGAGCTGCCCCGGTCAACTGTAAGTGCTGTTATTGTGAAATGGAAATGTCTAGGAGCAACAACAGCTCAGTCGCGAAGTAGTAGGCCACACAAGCTCACAGAACGGGACCGCTGAGTGCTGAAGCTCTTAGCGCATAAAAATAATCTGTCCTCGGTTGCAACACTTACTACTGAGTTCCAAACTGCCTCTGGAAGCAACATCAGCACAATAACTGATCGTCTGGAGCTTCATGAAATGGGTTTCCATGGCCGAGCAGTCACACACAAGCCTAAGATCAACATGCGCAATGCCAAGCGTCAGCTGGAGTGGTGTAAAGCTTGCAGCCATTGGACTCTGGAGCAGTGGAAATGCCTTCTCTGGAGTGATGAATCACGCTTCACCAACTGGCAGTCCGACGGACGAATCGGGGTTTGGCGGATGCCAGGAGAACGCTACCTGCCCGAATGCATAGAGCCAACTGTAAAGTTTGGTGGAGGAAGAATAATGGTCTGGGGCTGTTTTTCATCATTCGGGCTAGGCCACTTAGTTCCAGTGAAGGGAAATCTTAATGTTACAGCATACAAAGACATTCTAGACGATTCTGTGCTTCCAACTTTGTGGCAACAGTTTGGGGAAGGCCCTTTCCTGTTTCAGCATGACAATGCCCACGTACACAAAGCGAGGTCCAAACAGAAATGATTTGTCGAGATCGGTGTGGAAGAACTTGACTGGCCTGCACAGAGCTCTGACCTCAACCCCTTTGAACACCTTTGGGATGAATTGGAATGTCAACTGCAAACCAGGCCTAATAGCCCAACATCAGTGCCAGACCTCACTAATGCTCTTGTGGCTGAATGGAAACAAGTCCCCACAGCAACGTTCCAACATCTAGTGGAAAGCCTTCCCAGAAGAGTGGAGGCTGTTATTGCATCAAAGGGGGGACCAACTCCATATTAATGCCCATGATTTTGGAATGAGATGTTCAATGAGCAGGTGTACACATACTCTTGGTCATGTAGTGTAACAACATGGCCAGTGAGTGACATGCTATTGGCAAGGAGCTCAATTTCACATCAACGGTTAGTGGGAAAGTCTCATTGCCTAACAGCCACAAAGAAGAGAAAGGCAACCAACAGTGTGCAACCTGTTTCAAAAGACAAGCCGTGTTGTAGCTAAGCAACCATATGAAGAAGCATCTGGTAACAATAAGCATCCGATCCATCTGCATTTTAGAGTGGCTTAAGAGTGTAATCATGACTAGGTTAACAGTGTTGTTAGGGGTACTTTATGTAAGTGATAGAGAATAAGGAAAGCCTTGTGTTGCTAAGTCAATGTATGGAGATCTGTGGTCACAGGGTTCATCATGGGGGGTCTGATGGCCAATCTAGGCCTAATGGATAATCTCCACATAACTACTGTTTACAAGGGCTTATAACTCTATCCCTCTGTCACACTATTACTTTTACTATTGCTCCCTCTATCATAAGACTCTTTCTACTTATTTCTCTTACCTCACACATCATTTCCTATAACCCCCTTTTCTTACCACATATCACTCTCTCTTCCCTCATTCTGTCTGTGTCTCTCCTAGTCCTACATGCAGGTACAGGCCAGAGAATAAACAGACATGCTCAAGTTCAGACATGTCACCTGTAGCTGTAGCATCCACCAATCCCCTTTCTCCTTCTCTCTCCCCCCTCCCTCGCTCGCTTTCCTCTCTCCTCTCCCACTCCCCTTCTACCCCATCCCCTGTTCTTCTACATGCCAGAGAGGAAAGGTAGTGTTTACCCGTCTCCTTCTCGTAAATACCATTCTCTGACTGACTCATTAAAGGTAGGGAGACAAAGACAGGGAGGGAAAAACACACTGCTCTACTCTTCCTCAGGAAACACAGCTGCTGGATGAGGATTGTTTATAAAACAGTCACCAGAGATAAATGAATGTATAATGTACAATGAGGTGGAGGAGAAGAGTCGTAGTAAACATACAGTTGCACAACTGGTGTAATGGTAGAGTAACTTATGTGGTTAAAATGGTGATGTAATTCAATTGCATTGTTAAGTTGTGAAAGGAAACAATAACAACTATAATTGTAACAACAATAAAAAGAAAGAACATGAAATAAATGAATAAAGTAAGATGATGTAATCAGTAACTATATGAAAAGACCAGTCCATGACTTGGGCAGGAGCTCACCAGAGCTGAGTACCAGCACCTCAAAATGACTACTGCTTGAGTTCCTGCACCTTTTATAGAATATTAGCTCAAAAATATTGTTGAGTTCCTGCACCTAAATATAAATAGTACCAGCACCCAAAATGAGTACCGGCACCTATTTCAGTCCAAGTCAAGCACTGGAGAATACTAGATGTGAGAAGATGACAGACCTAATGTGTTGCTTACCTTCCCATCTTCCATATTCTCCATCTTGAATTCTGTTTCACTGACTGACTTCCTCAGGAAAGATCAAATAACTCCAAGTAAAATAGTTTGTTTGAGTTTCTCCTTCCAAAACTAGGCTCTCATTTGCAAGGTAAACAATGTAGGCTGTCCAAACAGTGGTTTGCAGAGGAACAACCTGCAGAGACAAATTTAAACAGAAGCATTTTAATACATTAGAAGAAGTGATTAACTAAAACACATGTAACACATCAAGCCTAGCAGCTGAATAGTCAGCAGAGTATATTTTACCTGTGTATGCATAAATTCAACCTCTACTGTACAGTAGACTATCTGGCTTGAGCAGCAAAAGACATGATGATAAAACCCTCCCTCTTCTTCCTTCCTCCCTCATCTCACTATCAGAGTTTCAACTCTGATATTCAAATGTGAACGAAATCAACGTTTCCCTAGATTGATATTGACATCTATGATAGATTCTACGACAGTGGTGATGATAAAAATTTCATTTTCATGCATACATCACATTTCATTCTATTCTATACCCCACTAATTCTGAAAGAGCATCCTCCTGTTGACCACTATTGACTAAAGTCTATAAATAAATCTAGAAGTCTATAAATCTATAAATACGTCTCTTCTCATTCTAAATAAAGAGCCTGGGAAGTACTGAAAATATTTATATGAACAAATACAAATGTTGGCTAACTTCACAATAGTAAAATGATATAGGCTATTTTACCGTAATTCCTGTTTGGTGCCAAATCGGTTATCGTATCTCCCTTTAGTCCGTTATCTAGAACTGTATGCTAAGCAGAATGTTCAGCGCTTGTTCCCCTCCCTCTCTCGTCACCGACTTATATACGATAGTGGCACGAGTCTGTCGGCACGTTGCCTAGCTTTGCCGACATCCTACGCGCCCTGGCCATCTCTGGTCATGCTTGCTCCTACACGTAAAGCAGATGCAGTTTTTACCTAATCATTGCGCTCGTGGGGCATTTAAGCCTTGAACAGCGCCTGACAGGCAGCTCTGATCTTGTCTGAGAGAACGTTCGAGGAGAGTGTAGGCTGGTTGGGAGTTGTGTCACTGCTCATGCTCTTAAAATGTTGGCGCCTGTAGAAGACACATTTCCGAGGTGAGCAGGACGATTATGAGATGGAGTTACATCGGGATGCCACCGGGCCGCTAGCAAAGCCGGGAGAAGAAGAATATTGGGACAGGGACATGGAAAGGTGGATTTCGGTGTAGGAATGGAGGAGGAAAAAGAGGAAGAAGAGGTTCTACAAAATGTACGTCAATGTAAGTACAAAGATTTGACCATATTCCAACCACCCTCCCTCCCTCCCTCCCTTCCACCCAACCCCCCAATCCCTTGCCTACCTCTCCGCCCTACCTCAGTCCACCCACCTCGATTCCCTCCCAACCCCCAACCCCCCACCCCAATCACACCATATACCCAACCCACCCCACACCCTCCCTCAATTCAGTCCTAGAAAACAAAAATTCTACAGAGATATCACAACAAATAAACAAGAATACAGGGGAGAGCAAAAAATATACAAACAACTCAATACAGATTCAAGATATAAAAACAGAAATAAATAAATAAAATTATCAGTAAACCTTAGACAAACTTGCTTGGACTGGATAGCATTATGTTGATGATTATACAGTGCCTTGCAAAAGTATTCATCCCCCTTGGCGTTTTTCCTATTTTGTTGCATTCTAACGTGTAATTTAAATGGATTTTTGTTTGAATTTCATGTAATGGACATACACAAAATAGTCCAAATTGGTGAAGTGAAATGAAACAAAAAAATCTATAATGGAAAAGTGGTGCGTGCATATGTATTCACCCCCTTTGCTATGAAGCCCCTAAATAAGATCTGGTGCAACCAATTACCTTCAGAAGTCACATAATTAGTTCAATAAAGTCCACCTGTGTGCAATCTAAGTGTCACATGATCTGTCACATGATCTCAGTATATATACACCTGTTCTGAAAGGCCCCAAAGTCTGCAGCTCCACTAAGCAAGGGGCACCACCAAGTAAGCGGCACCATAAAGACAGAGGAGCTCTCCAAACAGGTCAGGGACAAAGTTGTGGAGAAGTACAGATCAGGGTTGGGTTATAAAAAAATATCCGAAACTTTGAACATCCCACGGAGCACCATTAAATCCATTATAGAAAAGTGGAAAGAATATGGCACCACAACAAACCTGCCAAGAGAGGGCCGCCCACCAAAACTCACGGACCAGGCAAGGAGGGCATTATTCAGAGAGGCAACAAAGAGACCAAATATAACCCTGAAGGAGCTGCAAAGCTCCACAGCAGAGATTGGAGTATCTGTCCATAGGACCACTTTAAGCCGTACACTCCACAGAGCTGGGCTTTACGGAAGAGTGCCCAGAAAAAAAGCCATTGCTTAAAGAAAAAAATAAGCAAACACGTTTGGTGTTCGCCAAAAGGCATGTGGGAGACTCCCCAAACATATGGAAGAAGGTACTCTGGTCAGATGAGACTAAAATTGAGCTTTCTGTCCATGAAGGAAAACGCTATGTCTGGCGCAAACCCAACACCTCTCATCACCCTGAGAAGCAAGGTGGTGGCAGCATCATGCTGTGGGGATGTTTTTCATCGGAAGGGACTGGGAAACTGGTCAGAATTGAAGGAATGATGGATGGCGCTAAATACAGGGAAATTCTTGAGGGAAACCTGTTTCAGTCTTCCAGAGATTTGAGACTGGGACGGAGGTTCACCTTCCAGCAGGACAATGACCCTAAGCATACTGCTAAAGCAACACTTGAGTGGTTTAAGGGGAAACATTTAAATGTCTTGGAATGGCCTAGTCAAAGCCCAGACCTCAATCCAATTGAGAATCTGTGGTATGACTTAAAGATTGCTGTACACCAGTGGAACCCATCCAACTTGAAGGAGCTGGAGCAGTTTTGCCTTGAAGAATGGGCCAAAATCCCAGTGGCTAGATGTGCCAAGCTTATTGAGACATACCCCAAGAGACTTGCAGCTGTAATTGCTGCAAAAGGTGGCTCTACAAAGTATTGACTTTGGGGGGGTGAATAGTGATGCACGCTCAAGTTTTCTGTTTTTTTGTCTTATTTCTTGTTTGTTTCACAATAAAAAATATTAGGCTTTTTCGAAGTGGTAGGCATGTTGTGTAAATCAAATGATACTAACCCCCCCAAAAATCAATTTTAATTCCAGGTTGTAAGTCAACAAAATAGGAAAAATGCTAAGGGGGGTGAATACTTTCGCAAGCCACTGTACCTATTATGTATTGACTATTGGGAATACCTACTGGGAAACCTTAAAGCGTATCATCAGAGGGGAGCTTCTGCAAGCCATTATATGATATAAATGGTTGATATTTTCTAACAAACGTATAATTTGAACCCCTAAGAGAATACTTAATTTTCTCAAGCTTTAGGAAGAACATTACATTGTTGAGCCATTGAGAAGTAGAGGGGGGCTGAGCAGACTTCCACTGGAGGAGAATTCTACGTCGAGCTAATAAGGATGTAAAAGCAACAATATCAGCATGTTTGGGGTCCAAGGAGAACAAGTCTTCTGGAATACCAAAAACAGCTATCAAGGGACATGGCTGCAGGTTCATTTCAAGCACCTCAGATAACATTTTAAAAATAGAATTCCAGTAATTTTGTAGTTTAGAGCATTGAATGAGCATGTGACTAAGGTCACATGGTGAGACATGACATCTATCACACTCATCACTTACATTTGGATATATTTCAGACAATCTGGATTTTGAAAAATGCCCTCTATGTAAAACCTTAATGTTGTATGAGACCAAGACGAGCACAAGATGTAGTGGAGCGTACTCTATCCATCGCCTCATCCCACCACTCCTGTGTAAATTCAACACCCATTTCCCGTTACCAAGCAGAGTTAGTTGTGTTGGTGGAGTGTTTGTCCAATGACATAATAAATAGATAGATCTGAGAAATGACTGCTTTCTGTCACGGTAATAGAGTCAATATGCCATCCCAGGGTTGGCAAGGGGGTGGAGCAGGGAAGCCAGAAAATTGGGCGGAGACACAATGCCTAATTTGAAGGTAACGGAAAAAGTGAGATGGAGGCAAAGAGTATTTAGAAGCCAGGTTGGGAAAACTAGAAAAAAATCAATTTACATATGTCTTGGAAGGACTTAATACCTTTCCTTGTCCAGTGAGAGAATGCATTATCTATTAGGGAAGCGGAGAATAAGTGATTCTTATCAATAGGACCCATAGTAGATGCAGAGGAGAATTTAAAATGCAGTCGAAACTGGTACCAAATCTTAAGTGTGGAAAGCACTACAGGATTGCGAGTACAGCGAGAGGGGCATGCTGGGAGAGAAGAGCAGAGTCAAGCTGGAAGAGAAGCAGAAATACAAGAATGTGCCTCTAGTTGACACCATGGGGTATCTGGAGAATGTAACCAGAATGGCAATTTCTGAAAGTTGACTGCCCAGTAATAGTATAAAAAGTTGGGTAGTGCCAGCCCTCCACTAAACTTGCATCTCTGAAGTAAATATCTACTGACTCTGGGTACCTTTCCTCCCCAGATAAATGTGGTAACAGCCTGATTGATTGACTTTAAAAAACACTTTGGTAAAAACAATGGGGTAGATTGAAATAAATAAAGGAATTTGGGTAAACTGTGAATTTTTACAGCATTAATCCTTCCTATAAGTGATAGTGGTAAGCTACCCCATCTCTGAAAATCAGTTTTCATTTGCGCAAGAAGGGGAGCAAAGTTTGCAGAAAAAAGAGCATGTAATGAGCGAGTTACGTTCACTCCAAGGTATTTGAAACCAGAGCAGCTAAGCTGAAAAGGCAAGTCTGTCTGCTGGAGCTGTAGCGTTGCTGGATTGATTGGGAAGCACTCACTTTTCTGGAGATTCAGCTTGTAACCAGAGAAGGAGCCAAAGTTCTCCAGAATATAAAGGATAGAAGGTAAACAGCTTACAGGGTTATTTACATAGATTAACAAATCATCTACATATAATGATAACCTATGTTCAACTCCTTCCCGTGTTACACCTTGGAAAGAGGAGGTTGCCCATAAAGCTACTGAAAGGGGCTTAATGGCGACAGCAAATAATAAAGGGGACAGTGGGCAGCCCTGGCGTGTCCCACGTTCCAGGGCAAAATAATCAGAACGGGTGTCATTGGTACAGACACTGGCCTGGGGAGATGTATACAAGAGACGGATCCATTAGCTTTTTTTTTTTAAGAACAGCAAATAGGTACTCCCATTCCATTCTGTTGAATGCCTTCTCTGCGTCTAGGGAGATTACCACCTCAGGGGAGTTGGAGAATTGTTTAGAATAAATCATGTTAAAAAGCATCAGAATATTTCAAAATGAACATCTGTCCTTTATAAAGCCGGTTTGTTCCTGTGATATGAGTCCTGGTAAGACAACTTCCAGAGGCCTCGCTATCACCTTCGTCAGCACCTTTACATCCACATTGAGGAGGCTTAGTGGCCTAAATGAAGAACAGGAAGTGGGGTCTTTCCCCTTCTTAAGGAGAAGCGATATTGAAGCCTGTGTTAGGGTAGGTGGCAACGAGCCACGTTCAAGTGACTCATTATACATAGATAAAAGTAAAGGGGCTAACTTGGTATGGAATTTCTTAAATAACTCAGTTGGAAACCCATCAGGCCCTGGAGCCTTGCTGCTCTGCATTGACTTAATAGACTGAATAACTTATTCAAGGCTGAGAGGGGAATCAAGGTCATCTGTAGTTTCAGCCTCAACTGTGGGAGTCTTCAGTTCACCCAAAAATGTAGTC